TATATATATATATATATATATATATATATATATATATATATATATAAAATTTAATTCTATAATTAATTCTAATATCATTTATAATAATTATACTATAATTCCTATATTATTTATAATAATTATACTATTTATTATTATTAAATCATTTCAATCAATTTTCACCATATTTCACTGAATACTGCAATCTATATATATATAAATTTTCTAGACGAATATAATCGACATATATTTTTCATTGCAACATTAAATTTTAAATCATGATACGATTATATATAGTTATATAATTTTATATATATAAAAAGATACACGAACTTTCAAATGATTATATTATAATTATTATATGCATATCATTTCAATCTATTTTCATCATATTTCATTCAATGCTGCAATATATACATATATATATAGAGAGAGTTATCTACCTGCAGCAGTTTGCTATACATAAATAAAAGATTGATGCACGTTGCACCACTAGGGAATGCACGATTCATACGATTATTGTGATCAATTTTATATCAACTATTATAAATGTTCGCATAATCGTGTAACCTATTTGATATCGTCACGTTTTTACTGACAGAGATATAAAACATTGACAACTTAGAAGAAATGTTTTCATTAGATTCAAAATTTATTAGTATATATATATATATTATTTTGATATTATATTTTGAAATACCACAAGGAACGTATAAACTTACAAGTATTGCAATTGATCTTACGTGTTGTAATTTTAACTCTCGATTCAACGTATAAGGAAAGTTCTCATTACGATATATACACACACACATATGTATATAAAGTTTGTAAAAGTTGATACGTCTATTCGTGGTAAATTAAAAAAAAAAAGGAAAAAGAAAAAATATAAAACGAAACACTGACCATGACCTATTGACTCATCAACGAGACCAAACAAAGACAATGATGTCAACTGTTACACGATAGGTGTGTGTGTAACTTTAAAAATCAAATTTTAGATTAAAATACGAAACAATTTTTTTTTTTTTTTTATATATAAACACCTTGAATTAATTTTTAATCAATTGTTTAAATTACACGAAAAAATAAATGTAGTTATACGTAATACTCGAAAACACAGAATCATATAAACAAAAAGATTAATATTTTTTTCTTTTTTTTTTTTATTATTTTAATGTATTTATTATATTATATTTATTATTTATATATTAAATATTATTAATTTAATTTTTTTATTATATTTATAAATTACACGAAAAATGTATCCAACAGTTGATACACGAAAATACAAAATTATTATTAATTTATTAATTATAATATAAAAATATAAAAACATAAATAATTTTTAACGTGTAAATTATTAATCAATTTAAAAAAAAAAAACCTGTTATTTTATCAACCTGTTATTTATTTTTTTATATTTTACTTTGACTTTATCTTTTCTTTTCTTTTAATTTTTTTATTTCTTTTCCACCAATAGCTGAGGAATTTAGTTCGTAAAGCTACGAAAAAGGAGGCTTTTAAAATGCAAATTTACGGCTGACGCCACACAACCATTGTTACATTTATCCGGATGTAATCTTCGTCAACGGAAGTATACTTGTGTCTCTCCTAACCTTTTTTTATTTTTTTTTTTTTATATTCTACGCTTTTGTCGTGAATTTCAAGTTAATAGAACGGATACGAGTTTTCGTGAGAATTCTGATCATAATTAATTAAATATTTTTATATTGTTTTAATAAATTAACGTTCAACGTTATAAATCTTTGATTAAGGTAAGATTATTGAAAATGAAAAGTTCGTAATAGTATTTTTGAGAAGATCTAAGGATATCTGATAATAGTTGGAAAACGTTCAACCATCCATGCAGAAGTAGCCACTTAAAAGCAATTAGTACGATTAAACTAAGAATTTTTTAATATATATATATATATCTGCAATGAATTAAGAACGTTCAAGGAATTGAATAATTGATATTAAAGAAGAATTAAATCTATCTCGTTCATTTATATATATATAAGAGTATAATTAATAATATTCTAGTAATTAAAAAGTACTATACCATATTATATATCTATATATATAAAAATAATAGATATATATATATATAAGTAATAGTATACTATTATATATATTTAATATTAAATATATTAAAGAGTATTAAATTTATTATAAATTTAATATTAAAAATTATTAAATATTAAATTTAATATATTATATATATATAAATAATATTAATTTTTATTTTAAAATTTTTTTAAATTAAAAGTATTTTAATTAATTAGTGCTAGTAGTTTTAATTAGTACTATATATATATATTATATCCATACTATACCACATATATAATATATCATACTATATAATATACCATACTATATATATATATATATATATATATATATATATATATATATATATATATAGNTATATATATATATATCCATACTATTCTTAAATAATTAATAAATTATTATAAATTATACTCTTATCTAGCTTGAAAAAACCAAATTGAACCCAAACTAGATCCTCTTTTTGTTTCTAGGATAAAAAAAATCAATAAAAGTTTGCAATATCACAAGAATGAAACAATAAATTTCAAAATAAATTCTTTATAAATTAAATTGTTAATAATAAAGCACAGTATTCTTTTTAAATATGATACATGCTAAAAGTTTATTAATTCTATAAAAAAAAAAAGAATAATAATAAAAATTGAATATTTACCTTTGTTGTCTTGACTATATCATAATGACTCTCGTGAATCCCTGATTCGTTGACACACGGTGCTGAATTTTGCCTTCTACATTAAAAAAAAAAAAAAAAATAAATAAAAACAATTGATTATTAATTATTATTCAATAAATTGTTCATTATATTTTTATATTAGATTAGAATTGTTTATAATAAAACTTACGTGACTTGATCGTAACCATTGATCAAAGGTTTTGGTGATTGGATACCAGATCTGACAGGTGTACTTGCGTGAACTGGCGATGGACCTTTACTACCTAAAGGTTGTTTTATACTACAAACAATAAAAAACAAACAATACAAATTAAATTATGATTTAATTTAATTAATTAAATATAAATTAAAAATGTCTAATCAATTAAAATCTAATCAATTAAAAATGAAAATTGCAACAACAATTATCATCGTAATTCGAATATTATTTTGAATTATAATAACATAATTATTATAATATATTTATATAATTTTTATAATAATACATATAAATTATTATAATTAATATTTTAACATTTATTATTATTATATATAATTAAATTAAATATAATAATTTAAATCAGTAATTGTGTGTGTGTGTGAGAAAGTTAAATTTGTCATTTACATTTCGTTGCATCAATTCACTTAATTTCATATTTATTTTTTTATATTAATTTTTTTTATATATTATTTAGTTTTTTTTTTTTATATAAATATAAAGTTAAATAAATGTTGTAATCATCAAACATATTATACACAGATTGTACGCAAAGTTTCGTCATAAACAAACTAATTGTTAAACAAGCCAATTAAAGGATAACTGTAATACAAAATATTATAACACGAAACCATCTAACAATCTTATTTTTCCTCCCCCTCCTCCCACCACCCTTATCTATTATTTTTTTCCGCTAGCTATCTCTCTCTCTCTCTCTCTCTCTCTCTCTCTCTCTTTATTTTTCTTCCTTTTTATTTTTTTTTTTTTATTTCGCGCTACGTTTCACTCTAAGATTCCATTATATTTTCCAAATCGTTATCTCGAATATTTCGCGTGTACTTTTTACGATTATTTGTCGTCCGTCATAGTCGTCGTTCCGTTAGATAATATCACGCCGCGTCATTGGTCCAATTTATATAGTTATTTTAATTTTTTTTATTACTTTTTTCTAGTTTCTTCTCGTTTAATCTTATTATTCGTATTATTGTTCTTTTCATTTCTTTGTCAAACGGTTAAGTTTGTAGATAAAGTATATATGTATATATGTGTATGTGTGTGAACTATATGTATGTGCCATGTAGTTTGTCTGATAGGTATGAATCACGAAAATCAGAACTCTCATATCGTCAATTTCCTGATGGAGTGGGGAAAATTGAAGGAAATTGTTCATAAATTCTTTGAACATCCGTGCTAGAAAATTGATGAGTTTACTACAGGGATTAAGGTAGAATGAAAATTCTATCATTTTTCTCACTTTTCTTACTTTCATTATTAACTTTAAAGTATTAATTTTGAAAAAAATTAAACTTTGACAAAATTAATCCAATTTTTACTTTCAAATGTAATCAATCATTCTTAAATTGTATCCTGAATATATTTAATTTTAGTTCAAGTGTTTTGTAAAAACACTTAAGGGATAAAATACTTTATTATTGGTATGTTTGTTTAGTTGATTAATTTTACTAATTTAAATTTATTAATAAATTATATTTAATAATTTAAATTAATTCTTCGAATTTTTTACTTTCAAATGTAATCAATCATTTTCAATGTTGAGAATAATTTTAAGTAAAGTGTTTTAGTAAAACATGAAATACTTTATTACAAATGTGTTTGTTTCTTTGATTAATTTTACTAATTAAGATTTAATAATAAATTATATTTAATAATTCAAATTATTTCTTTGAATTTTTACTTTCAAATTTAATTAATGTAATCAACCATTTTGGAGTGTACTGAATTATTTTAATTGAAATGTTTTTAATAGAAATAAAATAATACTTTATCATTATGTATTATTTTATTTTATTTAGTATTATTATTATATTATTTAGTAAATTATAATATTTAGTATTATTAGTATGTGTGTTGCATTAATTTATATTACTAATTCACATTTAATATTTATATTTAATAATTAAATTAATTCTTCGAATTTTTTAATTCAAATGTAATGAACCTTTCTTAAGTATGCTAAATAATTCTAGTTAAAGTGTTTTAGAAAAAGATAAAATACTTTATTAAAAATATGTTTAATTCATTAATTAATTTTACTAATTTACATTTAATAATTATATTCAATAATTCAATTATTACATCGCATTTTTACTTTCAAATGTAATCAATCATTTACARCACTGAGAATAATTTCAATCAAAGTGTTTCACTAAAAAAATCAAATACTTTATTACAAGTATCTTTATGTCGTTAACTGATTTTACTAATTCATATCTAATAATTATATTCAATAATTAAAATTATTTTTTCTTCATGCATATTCATGTAAAATATTCATGTAAAATATTCATATAAGATATTGATATAATAAAAAACAAATTATTGACAAATTTACCGATTAATGCAAGGTGGGGTAGAACCGGTACTCCTTAGATTACAATTGTTACTGTGATTTTGTTTATTGTATACCGGCCGATTGTTTACAGACACGCAAACACGCTCGGCAATACGGAATCTCGGTGTCGTCGGTTTATGATAAATCATCCTCGCTAGAAGAATTCCCTTTTTTCCACGTAACTATTACACGCTACTGAACTTTTTCAACTACGATGATTCCGACATAGTCAAGATGAAATCCTAAACTATTATACACTAGAAGATTAGAACGTTCTTAGCGAGTACACTCACGAACAAGTACAAAATACAAAATAATAACAAAAACTTCAGTACAAAAGAAAGAAAGAAAGAAAGAAAAAAACAATTGTCAAACAAGTGGGGATTTTCTTCTAAAGAAAAAAGAAAAAATAAAAACAATAACAAATAGTTCACACAACTTTGTGTTTTTTTGATCGTGCAAGAATTAAAACTTCGTAATGTTGGAAAACTTTTGCTTTCTTTTGGAACAACAAATCAAAGATAAAGTTTATATTTTGTTTTGCTTTGTTTTTTTTTTTTTTTGGTGAGAAATAAACACTGACACGAGTTTTACGATGCTGCCACGAAGGAAGCTTGGCGTCGAATATCAGCGAGTCGAGCAGGAGCCGTTCCACGAGCTTCACTTGAGCAGCCTCCTGCCATTAGAACCAACCATACTGACCGTTCTCTATGTGTGTATATGTGTATCTATGTGTGTGCTTGACTTCGTTCGTAATAACAAAGCGTATCGCTAGTTCTACTACCTATCGTATATAATTTGCTTTCTTTTTATATTTTCAGTTTTATTTCAATTAATAGGATTGTTAACATTTGATAAAGTAAGAAACTTACATTTTTTTTTTGTTAATAAAAATCTAATTCTAATCAATCAATTTGATTGTATGTTACTTTGAACAAAATACTAGTGAATTTCAAAATGTTAAGATTCATTTTATAACGTGTGTTCTTTCTAATATTGTATGGTAATTTTAATTAAATTTAATTTATTTTAATTATTTATTACATTATTATAGAATTAGGTTTGTTATATTATTAATTAGATAATTTATTAAATTATTATAGAATTATATTATTTTATTATTATATTTTTAATTAATATTAGAATATAATTATATTATTATATTATTAATTAAATAATTTATTAAATTATTATGGAATTATATTATTGTATTATTAATTTAAATTATTATAGAATTATATTATTATATTATTATATTATTATTATATTATTTAATTAAATTTAAAATTTACTTTAATAGTTTATTAAATTATTATAGAATTATAATATTATATTATTATATTTTTAATTTATATAATAATATTATTATATTATTATATTCATAACATAATATTTAATTTTATTAAATATTTAATAAATTTAATTTAATTTAAAATAAAATAGAAAAAGAATTTCAAAAAGTAAGGAAAATATTTTTAAAAATAATAAACTCATATTATGCAATTGTAATAAACACAAATTACTAATCCAGTAGCATTAAAAAAGAGTTAAAAAATAAAATAAAAATTTATCGTAAATTATTATTACAATTTTTGTAAATGAAATAATTACAAAACTAAAAATAATGTTTCAAATCTATTGAAAAAAAATTTCTATGCAACTTTGATATTTAATTCAATTGAAATTTGATAATAAATTATTATTATTAGAATTTTTGTAAATGAAATAATTACAAAACTAAAAATAATGTTTCAGATCTATCGAAAAAAAATTTCTATGCAACTTTGATATTTAATTCAATTGAAATTTGATAATAAGTTATTATTATTAGAATTTTTGTAAATGAAATAATTACAAAACTAAAAATAATGTTTCAGATCTATCGAAAAAAAATTTCTATGCAACTTTGATATTTAAATCTATTCGAAATGACACGTCTAAAATATTTCATTTTTTTTTCTCTTTTTTTTAAATACCATACTTTGTACTTTACAACAGGTAAAATATATCGTCGAATAAAAATATTATTTGAATTATCAGAACGTATAGAAATAAAAGAAGCATTGTAATCGAATGAAACATATACATATATGTATATATATACAAACATATATAACTCGATGCATGAGTAGCCACGTGAAACTTTAACTTTCACGTGGTATTTTCGCTATCGATTTTAAATTCATAAATAGTACGTTGCACTCTCGTTTGTTAAATATTAACTATTCATAAAGTATGTTTTAATATTTACTTACTCACTTCTCCTGCTATTATTTTATATCTTCCTTACTTTTCATTTTATTTTCTTTCTCCTTCTATTTAACTAACTTACGAATGATGAATACTTCTTCTTCGTATTATTATTACTACTATATTAAATTGATAATGAATTTATCAGTGAGAGCATTATGATTCGAGTACGTTCAATTGGTTTTCTATTTAAGTTAAGTGATAATGCTACTTCACGAAAGAAGAATAAATGATATCTCTGATATAAGAAAGAAAGAGAGGTAAAATGTTCTCTAACACGTTCATGAAGATGATATCCAACAGATGTTGTGAATCGAAAGGTTTAGTTAAAAGTAAGAAACCTGTGAGGTACAGTTATTTCACTTGTTCTAAACACTATCTACTTTAAGTATTGAATTTTTATACAGTGTGTACGTTTACAGAATATTACTAATGAAAATACGTTCGATTTGTTTCAACAGGTTAAACCAAATCATGATTCTCTTATTTTCTCTCATTTACATTGATTTATAGAATGTGATGATTTTGAATGTGTAATGTGAAACTTTGTTTATTCTCAAATATATTTCACAAATAAATTTAATTTTGATTTTATTAAATCAAATAATATTCGCGTTACAACTTTTACTGGATTGTATAAAAATAATTATGTAATGGAAAAAAAATCCCTCTTTACATGTGTAAAAAATGAATGAATATATATATATAGGAAAGAACGTTTTCTAGGAAAACAAAAGGTTGGTTTGTTGAAAATCGTTAACTTTCACATTGAATAATTATCCATCTTATTTTTGTACATAATATTAAAGAAAGATATGTTAACGAGGATTAATATTAACTCAAAATGAATTGTCAAGTACACATACATAAATACACACATATATATATATATGATTATTTGGTACAGTGAAAGTCACTTTATTTACGACGATCTTCTCGTATTTGACATGAACGATCATCATCATCATCATCAAGTGAAATTCAATCTAAGAGAAACTAATCAAATATATTTTCCAATGTAATTTATACAGGGTGTCCCATTGATACACTTGAATTTGTTGAATTTGTATTACCACGTCGAATGCCACGTGAATTCTTAGAGAAATCTTTGTCAGGCCACGCACCTGACACGGTATGAACTTAAAGTTAAGTGTCAGTCATTTATGACTGACGTGGCACTCTCAACGTGTTAATATTGTAAAGTCAAAAATATAGGGCGCCATTTAAAAAAAAAGTGAAGAGTTAACCTCAAAAATTATAACCTATTGCAATGTATTCCCAATCTCTGGCAGAGGCGTGACGTAGCAATTCGACCTATCTAATCTAATTTTGAATTTAGCCACCAGATAGCGTATTCAAGTTCTAGAGATCCCACGTGACTTAGAAATTCGACCTATCTACTCTAATTTTGAATTTAGCCACCAGATAGCGTATTCAAGTNTCTAATTTTGAATTTAGCCACCAGATAGCGTATTCAAGTGCTAGAGATCCCAAGGGATCTCTGGCAGGGACGTGGCGTAGCAATTTGACCTATCTACTCTAATTTTGAATTTAGCCACCAGATAGCGTATTCAAGTGCTAGAGATCCCAATAGTCAATCAAAAACAGTTAAACTTTTTTTCATTAAAATACTTTAATTTAATTATATTTTATTTTTAATTAATATAAAATACTTTAATGTTATTAGAAAATACTTTGTGTTTAAAGTACTTGAAAAATCGTGAATACAGTTATATGGGACACTCTGTATATGAATAACGAACAAAAAAGAAAAAAATTCTAACCTAGAAAAGATCGATCATTGTTATTCTAAAATGTAACCGAAATATAAACGAAGAATTTCAAACGAGAAGTAAAAGTAAGAGAAATTAGATAAGAAAGTAAAACAAAACAAAAACAAAACAAAAAGAAAAATCTTTTGCTCTGTTAGTTGACATAATAATAGTCAATCAATGATAATAAATAACCATCTTATGGTTACCAAAGATTCATCCATCTTTTTTTTTTTCTTATAAATATGTGTATGTGTTTTTAACAAAATCTTTAACATATTGACAAGAAAAGAAAAAAAAAAAAGGAAACATGTATAGTCACGCATGTAAACCTATCAACGCAGTCACGCGCATGAACGAGAAAATGGCACCATAAATATGTACGACAAAGCTAAGCTAAGCTATGGGAATGAATCACCGGGGTGGAGAAGCAGACGAGCAATGGCAAGCAAGCAAAAAAAAAAAAAATAAAATAAAACCCATACGGTCACGATTTCGCCCGTGACTGTGGTTCCATGCATCCGGTATCCGGCCTCGAAACAACAATGTCCACATTGGTGTCAATGAACCATACTCAAATTCCACTTTCGTTTTAAATCCAATTTGGAATATCAAAGTATCGAGGTCAACCCTATAAGTATTACCATGGGAATGTTTCTGATAAATCAGAACCTTTTTATTTGACTCGTAATCCATTCTTTATTTATACAACAACAATGTTACTAGTCCTAAGTATCATGGGAAATAGGAATTACTGACATAAACTCGTTATGGTTGACAATTGACCGGATATGTTCGTCAGAACTCGTGTGAACCAAATTGTAAAAAAAAACTAAACGTGAAGATCTATTTTAAAATCTATGGTTTCCCTTTTGAATAAAATTCAATTATTCCTGGAATGGCATTGGAGGTCAATGCCAGATATGTATGAGAAAAAGAAAAAAAATATAAGAAGCGAGTTTATTAGCGATTCTCGATGCTATTTCGAATGGCGCCACATCGGTGTCTAGACCATATGAACGGATTTCTATTCTTGGCGAGCGTTTAGGATCAAGAAATATATATTTGACGTTCTAATACCGCCATCTGTCGGGGAATGTAATCAACAACTCGTGGCTTGATTAACTGCAATTTCAACTCACTGCGCGTAGGCGAATTTAAACAGATAAGAAAATGATACTATTACGTGATGCTAACCATAACTAATTAGATATTTACTTTGACTAAAAATCAAACAACAAATCTAATGAAATCGTAGGAAGGAATCATATGTTTAAACTGTTTAAATTAATTCCTTATTAGTATGGTCAAGAGGTTATGGTCGTCGTTGCATAACATCATTTACTCGTAACCAACTTTACGTGAAAGGATTATAAATCTTAGATGACGTAGATCTTATACCAAGGAAATGATATTTTCATTTTCTTGCCAGTCCCAAGCCCAAATAAAGGAGGAGGGTTTAAGGGTGAAGTTAGCAACCTTCCAGAACTAACAAATAGGCTATAAATTTAGGGATAACAGGACAAAGTCCTAATAATAAGACATTTTGAACTCACCCATCAGCTTGTAGTCGTTTTTCAATAATTTGAGGTGGCAACGGGGTCGACAATTGTTTCACCAATTCGTCCCTTTCCCTTTCCTTCTGTTGAATAGTCTCTTGCAACTTCTGTTTTTGTTTCTGATATTCTTTAAATAGATCACCGTTATAGCTTTGTTCAAATTGATCCACTGGCATAGCTCTGCTTGGGATTACCGATGGTTCCGTAATCTTTGCAGCAACACCTGTAGGTTTTTCAGCCAATGAGTCTCTTCTAGAACTCCTAGCTGTCGATGGTGCTGGTGATTCTCTGCCTGAAATTCTTCGTTCCGGTGTGGATGCTGCTGAAGGATCTGCCGCTTTAATTCCTGTAAAGTTAAAACAAAGAAACGTATAGTTAATTTTCGAAATGTTTGGATTATCTGATGATTTATTATGAAGTAACCAACCTTCAGGACTTTTTGATTGTCCTCTGATCCTAGGTGGAGCTTTAGGATGACTATTACTATTACTAGTAGTCGTAGTAGTAGTAGTTGTTTCTTGTATCGACGGTAAAAGTTGAAAATCAGCGTAACTAGAACTAAGAAAGACATCACCTTCGTTCTCGAATAGCCTGTCAACGCTAGTATTCATTAACTTGTTATTTTTGAAACCGGTTAAGTGGAAACTTGCGAAGGAGGATCTTGACATAAGATTGATGTCACCAGTGGATAATGCCATCAAAGCTGCCGATGGTATTGGCATATTTTTAGGACCTGGACCAGCTTCCAAAGCTGGCACCAAACTACGTGACATCATGTCTGCTGCCGATCTAGGTCTGGTAAAGGGCATAGCACTGTGAGGAAAAGTCTTCGGTTTGATGGGTGTTATTAACATGTGTTCGGTCCATGAAGTTTCCAAAGATGGCCTTTCGAGACGTTCCACATCAACGTTCAATGTTCTTTGAGCGAATGGTACAGCGAAAGTTTCCGGCGGTATACTTTGAAGCCAGGATAATAAACTCAGATCTGAGTCACTAAAACCGATAGAACCGTCTAACAACCTGCAGAAACTCATCTCGACCTGTAATGATAGAAAATAATGATCATGTCCTATTTACAGTGATTTTATAATGAATATCATAAATATTCCTTACCTGTTCACTCTCCTTCAAACCAGTTGCTTTAGCTTGACAATAATTAACGCATGATTCGTACAGAATACCCTTGATGATCAATTGAATAAGCCTGTCATTTTTCGCAGATGTTACAGGATGAACTAAATCGTTTGATTTTCTATCACCCGGTAAAAACTTTTCCACCAATGGATGTACCTCACGAAAACATTGTACTCTAGCATTACTAGGATTCCAATCCTTGTATTGTAAATGATCGGTTAATCGTGGAAGTGTTAGTAATAGACAAAAACTACTGTATTCCTCTTTGGTTGGTGCAACCTTTTCCAAATCGCTAAGAACTTTGACAACTTCTTCTACTGCGTTATCAACGCTACCATTTGTTCCGGCTGCTATCAAATTTGCTTCCGATTTGATGCACAATAATTCAACATATTTATGTCTTAATATTGAATAAGTAAATTTTCTCATGTCGAAATCCGGTAGTGCTTCCAGTGGCTGTATAAATTCCAACACATCGTCCCATTGTCCATCAAGTATAAGTTGTCTCAAGAATAGTACGTCGTCGCTGTATTGACCATTTATCACTCCTGTCTCACGTTCCAGAGAAAGCTGCGAGATGTGAAGGTCACGACTGTGGAGGAACTCCAAGATCAGTCTTACCACGTCCTCTTCGCGCAGCGTCAAGTGCGTTGCCGGCATCACGTACCGAATACGCAACCTGAACAATTTTAGAAAGTTTATTGCAACTAGTTTATATTCTTGATCTATATTTCATTGAGAAAACTTATGTATATATTTCTGTACAAAATAAAACAAAAATGACACAAAAGTTTGTATAGAATCTTTTAAAAGTGAAAACTTCTTTAATAAAGTGAAAACTTCTGTAACTTTTTAAGCACTATGCGCCACTATAATGGCTTTTGTGGATGCCATCTTTTAGTAGGACGCATAACTATAGGAGTTTTCGCGAATGCCATCTTTTAGTAGGACGCGCCACTATAGTGGCTTTCGCGAATGCCATCTTCCAGTAAAAGAAACAAACATATATACATCCTTTGTTTAGCGCTGCGAGAAAATGAGATAGAAGATAGTAGTATGCATTTGTTTCTTATTATTGTGTCGTCTCCTCTTTGTGCGGTACTTCGTAGCATCCCCACTCTTTTCTACTAAGCGTTGTGAATATAGCACAATATGCATATTGGGAAGCTTAAAAACACATATTACTACTCTTATTACTTTTTTTTTTTTTTAATAACAATAAACACTTGTAAAAAAAAAACAATTTTTTAAATAAAATGCAAATTAAGATGCGTTTAAAAATTAATATAATAATTTTACAGGTGAATCGTTTAGGAATACTAATATGTAAATCAATTTCTCTTCATGTTATTTCTTTTATTTAAAAAACAATTATGAACAAAATTCACATGTAGATTTTATTCAATGAATATTATTATTATTATAATGTGATATATAAAAATATTTACAGAAAAATTTCATATAATTTCGTCGATAACCCATGATTTACGCGCCACTGATTTATACTTCCGTTCGACATTTAAAGCTTAGAACACACACATACACAGGGATTGCAACAGATTATTAAATGGAATGTGCAAAAATGCATCCTTTCGCGAGTTCGATGCACTTCGAGGCCACAAACATTTCTGCTGACGTGCCCCGATTAACACGCAAAAGTGGGTGACTAGATTTCGTATTTTTGATCTATTACTTATTTTATTTAACTATTTAAATCAAAACAAAAATTCAAACAAATATTTAACTTATTTTCTTTTCTTTTTTTTGTTTGTAAATGTAAAAGAAAGGAAAGACAATCAGAACAAACTCAACATTTCGAACATCTACTTTATATTCCACCAATGATTCTCAACACTACGCAGTTTTCGAAGTAAGCAAGCAAGCAAGTTCGGGTAAGTTTAGGGAGGTTGAAAAGAAAGGAAGGGTTTAAAGACAAGTGGAAACCCTTATCGACTGTTCGCACATGACGCTAGCTATACTCGCGTGCTTGCTTTTCTTGCATGCGAACACACCCTCTTTCCTCTCCAAAATCAGAAGGGTTGTAGACAATGGGAAAGACTTCGTAGACAGACGGATGAACATAAGCGTTTGGTAGTATGGTTTGCACCAAGAGAAAAAGTAAGAGAGAGAGAGAGAGAAAAAAAGAGTTTCATCTATTCACTGCTAGACTTCAAGCAGTTTTTTAAACAACGTATCCACGTTGCAACGTAAAATGCAATCAAGTTTAACAAATATAATTCACAAATACTTAAAATTATATTTTCTTTTCTTTCTACTATAAGAATCTTGTTTAACAAAAAAAGAAAAAAAGGTAAAAAATGTGCAACATATGCAAAATACATTTTTCCAAGCGGACATACGTATCAACTTTATTTTCATAATTAGCTAACTCGATTATTTTTATTTCCGTGGGTTAAATACGATATTTTTTCGTATCGAGTTTGGTCACGTCCGGTTCTAGAAAGAAGAAGAAGAATGTATTACTTGATGCTTCATCAGCGTCAGCATCAGCAAATTTACGAATAAATGAGCTCCCGGACTCGTCCAGTTTGATCAGTTTCATACAAAATTTCGAACGATTATCAACTAATTATTAAAATGCAGTTTGAAATATTGGTAAGTTAATTAAACATATATTTTAATTTAATAATTCAATGTTATCTTTGTTACTTTTGCTTTATGATTACATTTTATTCACGGTGTGTATTTTAATCACATTCCTCGAATTTTATATTTTTTAATATTTATATTTTAGATTTTGTTTGCAACGTTTAGCATAATCATTGCGGATGTTAACATACAACCAGAATATACAAGACCTTACATACAATATCAACCAATTGATAGACAATATTATTTCGTACCAAATCAATATAGATCATATTTTTGGTATGGACAACCAACATTTATTCCAATTTATTTGAATACACCTAAAGAAGTTAATAATCAAGAAGATAATAATAATAATAATAATCCTTTATTGGGTTCTCCACAAAATCCGGAAATTGTATCAAGACACTTGCATGCATTGAAAATTGGTGGACATAAAATTGTTAGACCATCTTACGTGATTAACACATTACGAGCACCTGCTCCACAATCGGTGAGTAAACTTGTTTTTTATTATTGTTCAAACAAAAGTTTCATTTTGTACGGAAAAGGGAATATAATACGTTGATTTCATTTAGATAGTTCATCAAAGATTCAAAAAATCTGTCGACAACCCATCCGATTCTGGGAAAACGGGGGAGGCCAATATTGTTCAACCGAACTCGTCCATAAACGATCAAACTACATTGAAAAACAACGAAACCCAAAATCCAAATAATATTGCAATTAAAGGTTAAACATTATTCATATTTTTTATGCATAGAAAAATGAACATTTCATCAAATTTATATATATATATATATTTTTTATTTAGATAAGGAAAATCAGACTACAGAAACTAAGAATCATCCAACTACAATGAAAACTTTATTCGATCTAAATCCACACAATTTAATTCCTAATTTATTAATGTCATCTACCAATCAGGAAATGAATAATCCAACTAATCATCAAGATTCTAAAATCGAATCAAATTTATCAAATGCACGAAACAACGATGTAGATGACGAGATAACCAAGTTAGAAAATTTCATGAAAAATCCAATTGCAAGAAATTTCAATGATCCTAGACTTTTAACAATAAATTCAATGGTTACGTCAAAACCAATGGAATCAAATATTGAAAAGGTAAATTTGTAACATATTCTAAATTTAAAAATAATTATCATCTATATATATATATATATATATATATATATATATATATATATATATATATCATATTTAACTTATCATTGTAGCAGTCAAGTAAACAGGATGAATTAAAAGATCCAATTACGGGTTCGATACAAATGGAAAGTTCCAGTTCATCGATGAAACCATTGGTTCAACAACTCTATCCATCAACGTGGTCATCGATTTATAATAATTATCCAAATCCATTACAAAATAATTTAATTTATCCTGGTGTAGGATATCAACCAGGTGTTTATATGATTTATTACAGTACGGATGGTTCTAACAAAATATTAATACCAAAAACAAATGACAATGAAAACTTGTCACCACCACAACAGCAACAGACACCTTGTCAAAATGGTATGAATCAAATAATACCAAGTTTTGGTTATACATATTTGCCTCAAGGTCAATATAATTATCTATCCAATTACATGTTAGAATATCCAAAGTTATCTAATTATTATCCATTATCTATATATCCAAATAATTATCTTCCATATGTACAGAAGGTGCAACAATAATTAAACAATAATGTTAATTCATTTTATATTATATTTTAATATGCATTCATGTTAAATTAAATAAATTTGTTTAAAAAATAAGTAGCCCTCATCAATATCCGTCCATTTGGTAGTTAGTTTATTATTTTTAAATATGGTGTGTATGTTATTATATATTATTATAATATTAATATTATATTAATATATAATATATACATATTATATATTATTAATAATATTTAAATTAATTAATTTATTATTTTATTAATATTAATATTATATAATATATATAGTAATGTTATTAATTGCACGTGTGTTTCGTTTATGAATTTATTGTTATATTAATAAAAATGTAAGGAATAATACAAATAATAAAATATTATCTATAAATAAATGGAATAATTAAAACAATGTATTGTTTAAAATAAAAATAATAATAATAATAATAATAATTAAATATATATAGTAATATTATTAATTGCACGTGTGTTTCGTTTATGAATTTATTGTTATATTAATAAAATTGTAAGAGGAATAATAAAAATAATAAAATATTATCTTTAAATAAATGGAATAATTAAAACAATGTATGTATTGTTTAAAAAAAAATAAATAAATAATATTAAAAATTATTGAATATATATATAGAGAGAGTAATGTTATTAATTGCACGTGTGTTTCGTTTATGAATTTATTGTTATATTAATAAAATTGTAAGAGGAATAATAAAAATAATAAAATATTATCTTTAAAT